ATCAATATTTACATACAGAAATTTAATTTGTTAAACTTGTCAAGTTTTATTCACAAATTATCTCAGTAATATATATAAAATACATAAAAATAAAAAGTAATATAATTACTATGCTGCTTCTATATATCTACACTTTGGGATTAAATCAAAGATGCTACAATATTTTTTTCATATATAAAATGTTTTTATGTTTTATTAGCATATTCATTATTACAAATCATATTTATTCTTTATGCCCTTTATCCAATCTCTCCCCCTCCTCTTCCCCTTCCCTCTCTAATAACCATAGATTTTTCTCTCTCCTTCTGATAGCTTAACTGTTTCTCTGTTGATTTGTTGCCTAGATGATCTGTCCAGTACTGAGAGAGGTGTGTTCAGGTCCCCACTATTACCGTAGAGCAGATGCTTCTATTACTCTGAGTGTGCTTTGTAGACAGAGAGGATCTCCTTTCTATTTTTTGGTCTCTACTGGTGACTTTCCCTTGTGTCAATGTAGTCAAGTGTCTGGTGTGCCATCTGCATAGTGGCTATGACTACTGCTAGACTAGCCACTTTTGCAGCAGCCGTGGCAACTGCAGTGGCTATGGTGGGCTACCCATGCGGAAATGGTGTTTTTGATGTGCCCTTTACCTGGTTGCAGCTTGGTTCAGCTTCCCCCAGCTTCACACCTCAGGACCCCCACGGGGCCCCCAGGCAGCAGCAGCAGCATGCCTGGTTGTGTCTGGGTTACAATGGCATTTTAAGGCAAGTTACTTGCAAAAGTGGCAATCATTCTACTCCAAAAGCAAGAGCAAGGTGCTGTTTTGGTTAGTAATAAGAACCAGAATAAAGAGAAAATGCTTGTCACCTGGTCTGGATGGAACTTAGAAGGCTAACAAAGCTGCCTCTTCATTAACATCCCTCTCAGTTTCCTTCTGTAATAATTAGCATGAGATTTGGATTCATGAGCCAATGCATACCCATTACTCTAACCACCTCTAAGCAAAGATTAAGTGTAAAGATACCCTCAAGAGTCTTGCACTCATTAAAACAACAACAGCCAAGTAAGTTTGAAATTAGGAATAATTGCTTATGGTGTCTGAAAACTGTCCCTTCCACTCTTTTCAGAAACTGAAACTGTCCCCTTCACTCTGTTACATAATCATGACAAAACATACACAAATACACAGACATAAGCAGTTAAAACCAACTCTACAAAAATATAAAAATAAATAATAAAACAACTTGAAGTGATATTTTAAACATGCTCTTTTTACACATCAGGCCATCAAATTGGAGGAAAAAAGGTATAAAATGCCACGAGTCCCTCAACAAATGGACAAATTCTAGATCATAAGGCCACTGTTACGAATTGAATGTTTATGTCCTCCTAAAATTCAAACGTTGATACCCTAATCTCCAACGTAATAGTATCAAGAGGTGGGGCCTTTGGGAGGTAATTAGATCATGAGGGTGGGCCCCTCATGAATGTAATTAAGAAGAGACACAAAAGAGCTTGCTTCTCCTCTGTCTGCTGTCTGCCATGTGAGGACACAACAAGAAGACAGCCATCTGTAAACCCGGACATGGGCTCTCACCAGCCACCAGATCTGCTGGCACCTTGATCTTGGACTTCCCAGCCTCCAGAACTATGAGAAATAGATGTTTGTTGTTTAAGCTACTCAGTCTATAGTAATTTGTTATTAGCTGCCCAAATGGACATAGACCCCATCTTATATTCAGATCTTATGTACAGAAAAAATTCTGTAAGACAATATATAAGGTTTTGGTTAACTGTAGTTTATAATGTAAGATTATAAGGGCTTGTTATGTTCTCATTTCAGTGCTCTGTATTTTCATTTTACTTTTCTATATGGGAAATGGATACCAACAGGTTAATTGCACGCATACTAGATGCTTATCTCTGTAGCTCTGGTTTACTCGATTGTTAGTTCTGTTAATCGAGTTATCACACTCCTGAGATTTTTAAAATTTCAAAACCTTTTCCTTCCCAAGCCTGACCTGGCCTGCTATTTTATTTTTTTTATTTTTATTTTTTTTATATGACAAAAATATTTTTTAATTATAAAAATTATAAAAGGAGGGCCGGACCATGGCTCACTTGGGAGAGTGTGGTGCTGACAACACCCAGTCAAGGGTTAAGATCCCCTTACTGGTCATCCCTTTGTTGTTGTTGTTGTTGTTTGTTTTTTTTGTTTTTTAATTTTGTCGATATACAATGAGGTTGATTATTGTGGCCCATTACCGAAACCCCCCTTCCTCCTCCCTCTCCCCCCTCCCTCCCAACAATGTCCTTTCTGTTTGCTTGTTGTATCAACTTCAAGGAATTGTAGTTGTTATGTCTTCTCCCCCGCCCCCGGCTTTTTGTGTGTGTGTGTGTGAATTTTATTTATTTATTTTTAGCTCCCACCAGTAAGTGAGAACATGTGGTATTTCTCTTTCTGTGCCTGACTTGTTTCACTTAATATAATTCTCTCAAGGTCCATCCATGTTGTTGCAAATGGCAGTATTTCATTCGTTTTTATAGCTGAGTAGTATTCCATTGTGTAAAATGTACCACATTTTCCATATCCACTCATCCGATGATGGACATTTGGGCTGATTCCAGCTCTTGGCTATTGTGAAGAGTGCTGCAATGAACATTGGGAAACAAGTATACCTTCGACTTGATGATTTCCATTCCTTTGGATATATTCCCAGCAGTGAAATAGCTGGGTCATATGGTAGATCAATCTGCAACTGTTTGAGGAACCTCCAAACCATTTTCCATAGGGGTTGCACCATTATGCATTCCCACCAACAATGTAAGAGAGTTCCTTTTTCTCCGCAACCACACCAGCATTTATCGTTCAGCATCTTTTGGATTTTAGCCATCCTAACTGGGGTGAGATGGTATCTCAGTGTGGTTTTGATTTGCATTTCCCGGATGCTGAGTGATGTTGAGCATTTTTTCATATGACTGTTGGCCATTTGCATATCTTCTTTAGAGAAATGCTTACTTAGCTCTTTTGCCCATTTTTTAATTGGGTTGCTTGTTTTTTCCTTGTAAAGTTGTTTGAGTTCCTTATATATTCTGGATATTAGTCCTTTGTCAGATATGTATTTTGCAAATATTTTCTCCCACTCTGTTGGCTGTCTTTTAGCTCTGTTAATTGTTTCTTTTGCTGTGCAGAAACTTTTCAGTTTGATATAGTCCCATTTGTTTATTTTTCCTTTGGTTGCCCATGCTTTTGGGGTCATATTCATGAAGTCTGTGCCCAGCCCTATTTGCTGAAGGGTTTCTCCTATATTTTCTTTAATAAGTTTTATTGTTTCAGGGTGTATATTTAAATCCTTAATCCATTTTGAGTTGATTTTAGTAAATGGTGAGAGATGTGGGTCTAGTTTCAATCTCCTGCAAATGGATAACCAGTTATCCCAGCACCCTTTGCTGAAGAGGGAGTCCCGACCCCAGTGAATAGACTTAATGCCTTTGTCGAAGATCAAATGGCAGTAAGTGCGTGGGTTGATTTCAGGGTGCTCTATTCTATTCCATTGATCAGAGTCTCTGTTATTATACCAATACCATGCTGTTTTGGTTATTATAAGTGTGTGGGTTGAGTTCTGGATTCACTATTCTATTCCATTGATCAGTGTGTCCGTTTTTATGCCGGTACCATACTGTTTTGGTTATTATAGCTTTGTAGTATAGTTTAAAGTCAGGTAGTGTTATGCCTCCAGCTTTATTTTTTTTGCTCAGTATTGCTTTGGCTATGTGTGGTCTTTTATTATTCCATATACATGTCTGGATAGTTCTTTCCATTTCTGAGAAAAATGTCATTGGTGTTTTGATGGGGATTGCACTGAATTTGTATATCACTTTGGGTAGTATGGGCATTTTCACTATGTTGATTCTTCCCATCCAAGAGCATGGGATATCTTTCCATCTTCTTGTATCCTCTCTAATTTCTCTCAGCAGTGGTTTGTAGTT